ACTCAGAAGTAATTTAAAGGGGCATGGCCAACATGCTAAGGCCCAAAGTCTTCCTTGCATAAAGGTCAGTCCTAGCCCCTGTTAAAAATTATACCCACATGTGTTAACAGAAACAACCCTTCTCTCAGTTGTTAGTCATGATTAGTATGGACAGAGTGACCACCAGGGCACCTGTGTTATTTCCTGGAGGCCTCCTGTTTCAAAAGAACTCCCTCTTCTGCATCCACACATGCCTTTTTCCGAAAAAGCTTTTTTGGAAAAAGGCTTATTCTTCGTAGAAAGAGGTTTACCGCTATCAGAAAAACGCCTCTGTTTTTTCGACTGTCTGTCAAAAGAATGCAATAGCAGTGTGCGCATAAGTATAGTTTTTCCAGAAAAATGGCTGTTTTTCCAGAAAAATGCTGCAGTGTAGACATACCCACAGGCACATTCCTTAAAGTGTTGGAATAGCAGCCATTCCAGAGTGTTAAATCAACTGCATGGGGTGACGATCAGCCCTGTTTCGACATTTTGTGCAGCTCCATGTCAGATTTTATTTGTGTAAGCAAGGCCTGAATAAATGCTTCCTTGACAGCTAGCTGGGAGGGGGAAGCCATTCAGGGTGTGTTTGTGTAAATACAGTTTTCTCCTGATTTGCTAGATAGTCCACAGATGGAACAGTGTTCTGCTTGTTGTAATTAACTTGGCTAGTTTTAGGCCACAAATTAGTACTGAATGCAGGGGTGGTGAAATATGGTTGCCAATGGGTAATTATTGTGGGAATACAGAAAAGCAGGACTGTGCTAAATCTGTTCCCAAGGAAGGGGCTCACACTTAGTAGAAAGGACCTTGTTAAGCAGAGACTTCACTGTCAGAGCCCTGTCAGAGTGAGATGGGTATTCTGGTCAGGAGGCTGCACACACTCTCCCCGGGGATATTCCCATGATCTGTTGTCCCCACTATTCAAAGAATAGAGCTAAATAGGCTTCATTAGGAGTCTCTTTGTTATTTAATTGCAGCACCTTTGAAGCTGAAACTAGTTGTAACAGAGCTGTGTTTCCGCTCTGCCTGCTAAGAGTTAAAATCAGGGGTGCGGGAGCAGTGTTTCTGTCCATACAGTGAAAGAGCTGGAATTATTGATGTGCAGAGGATACGGTTCAGAGGTAGATGGCAGGGAATAGAGACTGACAGCCAGCAGTGTGGCAGCAGAGAGGTGCAATGAGCAGCCAGCATGGTGGCAGAGGAGAGGCATGATGAGCAGCCAGCAGAATGGGCAAGATTGGGCAACTGTGAGTGGGGTGCAGAGAAGGCTCAGGCATGTGAAGGGGACCTTTGGGCTGTTGGACTTAAGCACCTAGAGAGAAAAGGACACTGCCCAACCTACTTAGGCTTGGTTTATGTTCATGGGCCCTGTTTGTGGTGTTTTCCCAGATTAATAACGAGCTACTTCCCTATTTTTATCAAAAGTTTCTTTTCTATGGCCAGACTCTGTGCTTGCATGCAGGGAAGCATTGCTCTCAGAGGCGCCCAGGGGTGTGTGTGAATTTCCCCGCTTACTGGGTGAGGGCTCAATCCAATTCTGTGTTGGATGGATGGAGAGGGTCCCCCCAGATATTGAACCCAGCTCTGTGACACCTTCTGTCTTCCACCGTCTCTCACAGCTGGGGCTGACCTAGTAGGTGATGTTTTTGTACTAGCCACACACATATGACAAGCATCTGCATAATCTCTCCCACTCTCCCCAAAGTCAGTTGCAGTTACTGACCCCACTCCTCAAAGGTCAGTGAGTGTCCCCTATCTCTGAGCATCTGGCTGCTGCTGCTGTGCCTGCCACTCTCCAGGGAGCCAAGGAGCCCTAGGCCAAAGGGCTACTGGGAATGTGTTGCAATTGTCATGTCCCCCTGGCCAGATGGAAAGACTGGGCCCATATAGCGCAAGGCTGTGTGTGAGGCTGTGTGATGGGACTGATCTCTTGGTGCAGGGAATGCTTTGACCGCTGCAGGCAGCAGCACAGCCATTGGGGAAGCAAAGCCTCCCTGTGCCAACAGGTCTGTCCCTGCAGCGCTGGGGCTGAATGGCAATGGGGAGCATGGAGGGGGCAGGAAGGACTGAGTCCCTCCCAATGGACAGAGGTGGGGGCCCAGGATTCCCATGGCAGGGAGCTGAGAGCTGGCCCTGCCTTTTCCATGCAAAACAGAGCCAGGGAAAGGTCTTCCTTCCCAGTCTTTTGGGGGTGCTAGGGGCAGGGAGAGGGCTTCCCCAAGCCCTGCCTTTAGAAAGCCAGGCGTAGCACGTAGCTGGCTAAGTGCAGGAGCTGGATAGCGCAGCCAGCACAAGGGGATGTGCTCCCTGAGATACGTCTACACAGCAGGGCAAAAGTCGAATTAAGCTACGCAACTTCAGCAACATCAATTGCACAGCTGAAGTAAAAATAGCTTAATTTAGGTTTTGGTGCTGTCTATACAGCCGGAAGTCGAAGGAAGAGCACTCTTCTTCGACTTCCCTTATGCCTCGTAAAATGAGGGTTACAGGAGTCGGAGTAAGAAGTCCTCCTGCTCAACATTATTTTGAAATAATGGCTTGCAGTGTAGACAGGCCTTTTGTTATTCCAAAATAATTTCAGTTAGTCTGAAATAACACTGCTGTGCAGATGTACCCTATGGACTGGGAGGTCAGTAGGTCCTATGGCAGGAAAGTGTGACTCATGAAGCCTCCCCTGTGACTTGCGAAGCTGCCCCTGCACCCCTAGAAATGGTCCCTGGCTCCCTGTGCTCACCAGGGCAGGGGAGAATCCAGCGTGGTGATTCAAAATGGCGTCATCAAGATGGCAGCGGCTGAAGGGCTGGTGATATGGCCATAAAGCCTTGTCTTTTAAAGGGGCAGCATCTTTTTTAAGTGTGACTCATGAAGCCTCCCCTGTGACTTGCGAAGCTGCCCCTGCACCCCTAGAAATGGTCCCTGGCTCCCTGTGCTCACCAGGGCAGGGGAGAATCCAGCGTGGTGATTCAAAATGGCGTCATCAAGATGGCAGCGGCTGAAGGGCTGGTGATATGGCCATAAAGCCTTGTCTTTTAAAGGGGCAGCATCTTTTTTTCCCTTTTTTGCTCAACAAATCTGGGGGGCTGGTGGGGAGCTCTTCTTTTTTTATTTGTGCTCAACAAAAATATTCTGGTGCAGCTTGTCGCATTTTTTCCGCCGCTGTTTCGGCTCTCTTCGTTTAATGGGTTGGCCACCCCTGCTGTAGGGTCAGTCCCTTATAGAAATCAGGCTGGAGCACTTGATCTCTCCCAGAAAACTAAAGAGGAGCAAAAAGAAACACTGGGCCATCCCCATAGAATTAGGGGGGAATGGGCATTAGAGCAGTAGCAATTTTAAGGCCATGCAAGTAGAAGCAATTGGGAGGCGGCAGGAACCCACAACTGAGTGGCTGGAGCAGAGGGGCATGATGCAAAAATGTTGGAAGAGCAGGGAGAGTACAGAGAAATAATATGAAATAGTTCCCAGGGAATCAAGGCTAGTGGGTACCAGTCCTAATGGGAAATGTTCAGTGCCAAATTCACCAGAAGGCTTTCTTGTGCTGTTTCAAATGTGGGGGGTTAGTTAAGTCTTTTTGCATCTTAATCACTTCACTGTTGCCCAACATACCAGGGTGAATCTATCCACCTATACACAAAGGCCAACACAAAGCATATTAATCTCTTGAGCCCCATTTATGCCCTCTAAATGAGGGTAAGTGAGCCCAAAGTGATGCACATGTCTTGCCCAGCCCAGCCAAATGCCATACACCTTGTACAGCACTCATTCATTTCCCTGTGTGGTAATACTCTCCTACAGAGCACCTGTGGTTGCATGCACAGCTGTAGGAAAACAGTCCATTCAAGGGACATGCCACCGGCCAGAGTGGGGATGCAGGGGCAGTGACAATGCTGAAGAAGGAAGGTGGACGATTTGGGCAGAAGCAGTCAAATGGAACCCTAGTAGAGGGGGCAGCTCTTACTCCCTGGCTGCTGCTTTTCCACTTTGAGCCCTATTCATAACCCACCAAAGCGTGTTTTTGCACAAGAAAATCTACAGTCAATCGACAGAACAGAGGGCTTTTAGCGGTGTAGGTATACCTCTTTCTATGAGGCATAACCCCTTTTTGCTCAAGAGTTCTTGCACAAAAAGGCATGTGTGGACGCTCAACAGGGGTTTCTTGCGCAAGAAGAGCCTATCAGAAAAAGCACAGGTGCTATGATGGCCATTCTGTGCATGGCAATCATAACTTTCTTGCACAAGAGTGTCCATGCAGCGTGGATGCTCTCTTGTGTAAAAGCACATTGCTTTTGCGATATGCTTTTGAGGTCTGGACGCGCTTTTGCGCAAGAAGTTTTTGTGGAAGAGATCTTCCACAAAAACTTCTTGCGCAAAAACACTGCAGTGTAGACAAAGCCCAAGAGACTAATAGGGTATGTCTACAGTACAGAGTTTTTTTGGAAAAATATACAATAATTGTATATACATGTTGAAGTTCTTTGAATTCATGATAATGGGTAAATGGCACATGTATACTATATTTAAAGCAAATTAGCAGAGATTCTCTGCTTATCAGACACAATTTAGACTCACGAGAAAATATGTTAATTCCAATAAAATATCCTACTACTCTGATATTTCTGTATCATGTAAAGGTCAAATCATATTCCAATAGTTCTTAAAACATGCAGATGTTTGTTACACTTGTCACATTGTTTATAAAAAGGCTTAACAAGAACTAGTAAATTATTAATATATGCGATAAGTATGTTGGAGATCTGAGTTGTATGTGTTTACAAATGGTTATAAGCACACCAGCAGAAGATATTGTATATGGTTATAAGCAAGTGATTGATCTGCTAAGCTCTGTAAAAATGGATTTATCCTTTAATTAAAAAGATCCATTCATCGTTTATTAAGTCTTAATAACAAACAGCTTCTAATGTATTACTATATGGAGCCTTCATATAAAGAGTGACCTAGATTGTAAAATTTTGTGCTAGATATAACTTTACTTACTGTGATAATTGTTTATAATAATGAAGAAATTGTTTTAACCTATAAAAGAAACAAATATCCCACTCAAATCAACCGTCTTTGCAAATAAAACGTTGTTGGATGCATTTTTTTTCAAAATATGCCTGTAATTTAATGAAACAAATGAACAGTTGAATAAATAGACATTAATGATGAAATTCACATTAAGAAAAGAGACATCAGAACATTTTGATTGATTTACTTGGTGGAATTTTGATAGCTATTGAAAAAAAACATACTATTCATGTTTAGGTGAAAAATAAATGGAGTCAAATAAGTGTCACTGCATAGTACTAGAAGGTATACACAGCCACATGTAAAAATGCATAAAACACAAACATTTATGTACAGCAATTTTCCTTTCAGTTTGTATAGAGAAATACTGTTTTATAATATGAGAAAGTATAAAGCAGACATACATGCAACAAGGACATGACAGTTACATATAACCCCGCCCCAAAGCTACAAATAAAAAAAAAGAGTTGAAACCTGGAATGTTTTCATATTGAGGTTTCAGGAGAACATCAGCTTTGAATGTATCTGAAATATTTTTAAAGGCTTGATCCAAAGCCACTGGAAATCAATGGAATTATCCCAAAGATCCCATTTTGCTCTCCCTCACAACCCAATGCTTCAGTCTGAGGATGAAAATAAACAATCATACCATACAAAATTTTGTATATTAGAATACAAAAGGTAACCATTTACTTTTTGTATAAAATACAACTTTTTTGATAGTATATTTATTTCACATATATATAAATATAACCCAAAGAATATGATTTATTATTCCTACCAAAATATTATTATTATTAATTTGTTTTTACAAAAGTTTACAAAAACAAATAAATCTTTATATTTACAACCCAATACTGCAAACAGCTCCTGGTCTATGGTGAAAAATATAATATAAGGGTAGTGCACGTAGCCACTGTTACACAAAGAGAGTTTGTTTTAAAGAGAACTGAGACTGGTTTCAAGTTTTGGACACAAGTCATTCATAAGCTCGCATTTAAAATGTATCATGTATGTTTTAATAGAACAGCATATGGCCTTCACTTTGCTGCATATGAATTTTAGTTTATTTAAAATATACATTGTTGAATACAAAGGTGACAGAATTTAGATTCAATTAAGGGCTTGACCCAATGCCTGCTATCACTGGAAAAATTCTTGTTAACTTCAGTGGCCTATTAGTGGCAGTATAGAGCCCCACCAATCCAGGAAGGATTGTGCCTGAGAATCTGGGGAACTACTGACCAATCAACCTCACTTCAGTCCCTCTAAAGATCATGGGTCAGGTCCTCCTGGAATCAATTTTGAAGCACTTGGAGGAGAGGAACATGATCAGGAACAATCAACATGGATTCACCATGGACAAGTCATGCCTGACCAACCTAATTGTTTTCTATAATGAGAATACTAGTTCTGTGGATATGGGGAAAGTGGTGGACATGATATACCTTGGCTTCAGCAAGCTTTTGATGTGGTATTCCAGAATATTCTTGCCAGCAATTTAAAGAAGCATGACTCAGATTAATGGAGCATAAGGTTGATAGAAAGCTGGCTAGATTGTTGGGCTCAATAGGTGGTGACTAATGGCTCAAGGTCTAGTTGGCAGCCAGTATCAAGTGGAGTGCTCCCAGGGTTGGTCATGGGTCTGGTTTTGTTCAACTTCTTCATTAATTATCCGAATAAGGGAATGGATTGCACTCTCAACAAGTTCATGGGTGACATTAAGCTGGGGGGAGAGGTAGATACACTGGAGGGATAGGGATAGGGTCCAGGGTGACCTAGACAAATTGGAGGATTTGGGCAAAAAAAATCTGAACCAGGAGGTTCAACAAGAACAAGTGCAGAGTCCTACACTTAGGAGGGAGGAATCCCATGTACTGCTGCAGGCTGAGGAGCGACTGGCTAAGTGGCAGTTCTGCAGAAAAGGTCCTGAGGAATACAGTAGACAAGAAGCTATGCCCTTGTTGCCACGGACGCTAACAGCATATCGGACTGCATTGGTAGGAGCATTGCCAGCAGATCTAGGGAAGTGATTATTCCCCTTAATTCAGCACTGGTGAGGCCACATTGGGACTACTGCGTCCAATTCTGGGCCCTCCATTACAGAAAGGATGTGGACACATTGGAGAGAGTCCAGTGGAGAACAACAAAAATTATTAGGGGTCTGGAGCACATGACTTATGAGGAGAGGTTGAGGAAACTGGGCTTATTTAGTCTACAGAAGAGAAGAGTGAGGGGAGATCTGATAGCAGCCTTTAGCTACCTGAAGGGGAATGCTAAGGAGGACAGAGCCAAGCTATTCTCAGTGGTGGCAGATGACAGAACAAGGAGCAATGGTCTCAAGTTGCAGTGGGGGTGGTCTAGGTTGGATATTAAGAACAACCTATTTCATTAGTAGGGTGGTGTAGCATTTTGACTTTGTCATGGCCTAGCTCAGATGATTTAGTTGGGGATCGATCCTGCTTTGAGCAGGGGATTGGACTTAACTTTTTGAGGTCTCTTCCAACCCCAATCTTCTATGATTCTATGCCACAAGGCAGCTGATTTTGATCCTACACCTGATTGAAACAGGTGGAACTCCATTATAGCAGTGGAACCATTCCTGATTTCTACAGGTGTCTGGGAGTGCAGGGTCACACCTATGGTATTGCTCTACTCCCATATACCCCCTCACTTCTCTCTAAATCTGGATGGTCCTTAATGTGACTTGTGCTGAAAAGTTGTTCTATTTTTGGGGGCTAAATAAAATCTGCCCTTCCGCTCCCTAGTGACTGTACAGAGGAGACAGTCCTGCTCTCTGAGCCCAAGGTGTGTGGTTAGGGGAGAGTGACTATTGGTTCTGGCACTGCTGAGCACTCCAGAAAGGGCATGTCTGGGTGGGTTATAAATATAATCAGAGCCTGGGTCCCCCACACTGGGAGGCTGATACACCTTTTCTAAAGGTGCAGAAGGAGCTTCTGGTCTGAGTCTCCTTGGAGATAAAACCCTCCTGCTGCCACCATCTCTTGTGTCATGGGTTTCTTCCCTTCTGCCATCTTGATGCAACTCTCTTCTGGGAGCCATACTTGATTTATTTTAGTAGGACTCGGCACAGGTGCACAAAGTAGGGAGAGTGTAAAGAGGTTTCCCGCTAGGCCTCCTCCATTTCACCTCTATGGATGCTAGCTCCGTGAAACAGGGAGAGGGGTGGATAGGACCACGGAGCTGTCCCCACCTGCACAACCAAAAGAACTGGGCAAGTGCCTTGTGTGAGCATGGTGCAACTTCTCTAAGGGTGCTGGAGCTCCTGATCTTGTGTGTATATATTCCAGGAGCCAGCAAGAACTTCCCCACAAAGTAATGGACATCTCTTATTGGCACCCTCAGGACCTGACCGATCCTGAACCAGAGAATTTGCCAGACCAGAGAAGGTTCCCTGCCACAGCTAACTCTGCCAGCTCCAGGGAAGGGAAAGGGACTATCTCCAGCCCCTGCTGGGCTGCCCGCTGGGTTGCTGGCTATGCTGCTGCTGCCCCAGCTGGACTGCTCTCCGGGCTCCAGCAGCCTGCACCGATGGGGGCTGCCAAGGGCTTGGGCTCTGGCCCCACTTCTGTGGGCTGTCTGGGGCTTCAGCCTCATGCTGCCATGGGCAACTAAGAGCACAGGCTCCTGCCCCCAACAGCTCACAGACTCTAGCCCCGCTTCCATGGGCTGCCCAGGGCTCTGCTCCCATGGGCTGTCGCTGGCCCAATCCTGCACTGCCATGGCCTGCCCCAACCCAATCCCAGAGGCTGCTGCCCCACTGCTACGGGCTTCTGGGGATTGCCACCAGCCTCTCCCCTTCCTGCTGCTTCAGACCCTCCTGGATTGCCCTCATGCCACTAAGCTACCAAGGTTCTCTGATCCAGGAACATCTGTAGTCCTGCCGGATCATGGATGTTGCCGGACCAGAGAATTCCGGTTTTGGGAGGCACCTGTACTGGAATGTGAGGAAGAGAACCCTTGCTAAACTTCTTGAACCATTCAGAATGCCCCATATGGATTCAGGAGATCCTGTAAAGCGTCAGCTCCATTCACAGTGGCACACAAACATGGATTAATTAAAACCCATAAAGGTGGTATAGCGCTGCCTTTTGGGTCACCTCCTGGCATCTGCAAATGGGCTCTATTTTCCCTTGCTGTGTCTAGTCTCCTCTGACTCAGACTAGGTTGTGAAGGATTCTCACATCAGCACAAGCAAAATCCCTCCCACAGTGCTATAAACAGAACACTCATCCCCTGGCCAGCACTCACCCAAAGCTGGCTGCTTTGTGAATTGATGAGTGTGAAGGGCTGGATTCTGATACCTTGACCCTGGCTGAGAGTACCTTCCTCTGCGAGTAGGCCCACTGATTTCCATACATCTGCTGCATATCTTGGTTTCAGTGGGGCAATCCAGAAAGTCAGAGACTATTTAACCTGAGTAAAGGTATTGGAATCTGCATCACCAGCACTTTTAGTGCCCAAGCCTGTCTCTTTGACGACTCCCACGACCTGGTGAACGAGAGAACTATTGATATTCTCCACAGGAGTCACGCTGTGTATTGTCAGACTGAATCAAAATCAAAATGGAAGCCTTCCCATATACACAGATAGCCCTGGATGAAGCAAATAGCTGAATACACGGGGCACTCAGCCATGGAGTGGGGAGGTATTCTTTAGGGGCCTAATCCTCTGCCCGTGTCTCACTCAAGCTGTCCATTCAAGTCACTGGCACCATCTGTGGAAGCAAGGCAGCAGCATTTGACCCTAGAATTTTGGAATGGCTGATGGCATATTTACACCAGAAACTAAACCAAATCTGTTACCTATTGGAAAACCAGCCTCCCGGGTTACAGCAAACCAAACACCAGGTGAGACTGTGTAAAAGCTAGTGACCAGTGAGTGACACTCCGGCATGTCTCTCATAGAAACCACTTTCCTCCTTCCTTGAAAGAAACCACTTGCCCTTTTCTACACAAGTTAGGTGGTTTGAAATGAAATCACTCACCAGGGAAAGATGAGAGTTTCTACTATGTAGAAATGATTTTTATAACACACAAGAATTAGTTTTGCAAGGGGCCTGATCTTATAAGACACTGAGTTCTCCCAGTGAGAGAGGAGGGCCCTGAACACTTTGCTCAACTCTGTATGGGAGGTGGCCACTTGCATCTGAGACACGAAGCTGCATGATCTGCTCACCTTTCAGCACCTCTATTTGAAGAGTGCGTATTACACACCTTCCTAAGACAAATGTGGACAGTTCCCATGAGAACAGCAGGTGCATATCTACTGCGTTGGCTATGCCCCCTCCCCACACTGTTTTTAGCTTGACAGGTATAACTATCATCCTACATTAGACTTTCATCTAGGGAAAGTTTAGAATCAGCTTTTGTTCTTAAACCGTCTCTTCAAACAGGGCAATCTCTCTACTTGGATCCTCATTTTAAACCATTGATTCTTATGACAATTCAACTGCAGGAGAGTAAATTAATAAAGCAGATTGTTGCCTTTAAAGAGAGATCTATTGTCAACCCTGCCTGTTAGTACTTAGAGCATATGTGTTTTATCATCAGCATTGTCTCCTATGAGTGGTTCCCCAAGATTTCATCAAGGTTGATGTCTTTCATCCAGTCATCATTACCAGGTTCTGTTTTCAGTAAAGAATCAATAAAGTCTGAATCACTGTTGAGTGCAGGCCCTATGTTGTCACCATGCTGGTTAAGAAAGTCAAAGGCTAAGTCATTACCATGGTCAGTTCCTTGGTAAGCTCTAGAGTTTTGGTTGGTAGATGTAAAATTGGTTGATGACAGGGATGAAGGTGGTGTCATACTTGTTCCTGGGTGATTCAAGTTAGGCACAGTCTGTGCTCTGATCTGGTTTGGTCCTACACTTAAACCTCTTAGTGACCCAACAGGTTGTCCATTTACGGTTTGGTTCATTTGGTTTAGAGGAGGTCTCATTTGCGCCACTGTTGTTAGCTGGTTAGGAGGTGCCATAGCACGCTGAGGAAACTGCGGGTTGCCTATGGAACGCTGCAGAGATTGGTTAGGATATGCAGTGCTTGTCGGGAAACGAATGCCTGTCTGTTTCAGTGCATCTTGCTGCTTTGTTGCTGCCTCTTGAGGGGCCCAGTTCTGAGCAACAGCACTGGAAGTGATCATCACATTCGATGGTCTTTGTGCTGGGATACCTGTCGTTCCATGATTTATACCTGTTCTCACTTGCTGAGTGTTAACCACTGATCCAGCCCCAAAAGTGGCTACATTGTTTCCTTGTGTTAGGGTTGGCTGGCGAGACATTATGGGGTTATTTTGACTGGTTACGATTTGGTTTTGGTTTCTGTGTTGTTGCATTTGGTTCATTCCTGATGTTATGTTGTATGAGCCTGGTTGATTAGAAGGAATGTTTCCGTAACAGCCCATGTTCCGGGCTGCTGAAATTGAAGGCATTCTGGTTCCATGGGGAGTTGTTAAAAGACTAGAATTCTGTGACAAAATGCTGAGAGTTGAAATGGGATTTGATAAAGACAGATTGGAGCTCATACTCACTGCTGGGGAACCACCTGGAAAAAGAAAAGAAAACAAAAATGAATGTCTTTATTGATACTTTTTTTCATTAAATGTGCTGTAGCTCAG